ATGCCGCCTCAGCCTCTTCTCCCCATTCAAACCTTGACCTCTTCCTAATTGCTTGGAAGAAATAAAGGCATTTGTCGCCAGACCGGCTGAGGAATCTCCCCAATGCAGCCAGGAAACCGGTGAGTTTTTGGACTTCTCGTACAATGCGGGGTGACTGCATGTCGATTACCGCCTGTACTTTTTCCGGATTAGCCTTAATTCCACTTTGATCAATTAGAAATCCGAGGAACTTCCCAGACTCAAAACCAAAGACACACTTCTTAGGGTTAAGCATGACCTTGTGCCGCCTGAGTGTGGTGAATGTTTCTCGGAGGTCAGTCAGGTGATCCGTCTGTAGCTTGGATTTGACTATCATGTCATCGATATACGCCTCTACATTCTTGCCTATCTGATGGAGGAAAACTGTGTTTATCATTCGCTGAAATGTAGCAGGCGCATTCTTCAACCCAAACGGCATCACAGTGTAACAAAATAACCCCTGATCAGTGACGAATGTCGTCTTTTCTTGATCTTTTTTCCAGAGGGGTATCTGATGGAAGCCTGAGTAAGCGTCCATGAAGCTCATCAAAGCATGACCGGCTGTAGAATCGACCAAGCTGTCGATCTGTGGAAGCGGGTAACTGTCCTTAGGACATGCTTTGTTCAGAGCTGTGTAGTCTACACACATCCTCTAGGTTCCGTTCGGCTTTTTAACAAGGACAACGTTTTCTACCCGATCCGGGTAGTAGCATTGCCGAATGAACCCAACATCTAACAGCTTCTTGACCTCGGCGGCTGCCGCCTGAGATCTCCCCTCGCCATGGTTTCTCTTTTTCTGCCTAACCGACTTCTTTTTAGGATCCACGACGAGCTTGTGGACAGCTAGATCCGGGCTTACGCTTGGCATCTCTTCCACTTCAAAGGAAAAAATGTCTTTGAATTCCTTTAGCAGTTGGAGCAAATCTGCCCCCAACGCTTTAGAAGCAATCGTCCCAACCTTGACGGTTCTGTCGGGCCGGCTGTCGTCTAGGACGACATCAACGCTCTCCCCTGCCGGTTGAGGTCGAAAGTCATCCGACCTTTCTCCGGCAAGTGATTGCTATTGCTTTTCTTTTTTGACGGTTGCCAGTTGGTCCACCTTTCTTTTCTTACCGGCTGACCTTGGAGCCGGAACTGCTGGATCGCAGTTATCAACATCTATGGGCTCACTTTGACCGGATGTACCCATAGTTGGCTTGAAGTCAGAGAGGTAGCACTCCCTAGCCGTCTTCTGGTCCCCGTTTAAGGAACCGACGGTGCCATCATCCTTCTCGAATTTGACTAGCATGAGAGACGGGATAATGACAGCCTTAGACTCGTTGAGGGTCGGACGTCCAAATATCATGTTGTAGGCGGTTTGTTCCTCCACAACTAAGAACTTGACAACCATGTGGCATCCTTGCCCCTTCTCACCCAACCGGATAGGAAGATCGATACTTCCTACCGGATGCACCCCTCCTCCCCCAAAACCGACTAAGGGGTGAGGCACCTGCTGCATGCTGGTGGGCTTGTACTTGAGCTTTATCAAGCACTGATGGCTGATCAAATCAGACGAGCTCCTGGTATCTATTAAGATCCGGCAAACCTTTTGCTTGGCAACCTTTCACTCTATGACGATGGGGTCATCATGAGGCCGTCTGACCTTGCCCCGGTCCTTTTCAGAAATAAGGACCTCAGGAAAGACATCTTTCGACGCCTGGCCCTCATCTACTGAGTTGACCACCTTCCTGATGTTATCTTTCGTTCCCCGGATGGTTGGGCCTCCACCGGCAAAACCGCCTGCTATGGTGAAGACAGTCTCTTCATCCGTTTCAGAGTTAGCAGGGCCGGCTCTTGCTGTCTGCCTCTTTTTTATTTTGGGGTTGCCCCTTGGGTTTTGGCAGGTAAGACTTTAGAGCTCCCTCGTCAGCCAGACGGTCTAACAGCCGCCTTAGGCTATAGCAGCCATTAGTGTCATGGACAACATCCTCGTGGTATTGGCAGTACTTGCTCTTATCCCGGCTACTGGCGGGACTTTTCATGGCGGCCGGTTTCTGGAGGGACAACCGGTCCTTGATTTCCATGAGGATGGAGGTGCAGCCTTTTGTGAACTCATACTTGGGGACGTACGGTTCAGATTTTCTTCTTGCCTTCTGGGCCGGCTGACCAGACCGGTCTGCCGCCCAGATTCCTTTTCTCTTGTCTTCCTTTTTTGCCGGCTGCTGTGGCCGGTTATCTTTCATGTCAGATTTTTTGAAATCTGACGGCTGCTTTACAGCACAAAGCTCCGTCGCCTGTATATAGGCTTCTGCTTCCATTAATGCCTCTTGGAGGGTGGCTACCCTTTTCCGGACGAGGTCGAACTTGAAGGTCGGCCCGTCCTTCTAACCCTTGAAGAAGTTTGTGTAAGAAACTTCGTCAGACAGCCCTTGAATCTGAATTCTCATCAGATTGAACAACCTGACATAGGACCGGAGTCCTTCCTTCTCACCCTGCTGAACTTCCCCAAGATCAAGGCCGGTCTTTTTGGCAGGGATGTTCATTGAGAAGTTTGACGTGAATAAATACGCCAAAGTTATGAAGTTCTTTATGCATCCGGCTGGTAGATTACCGAACCACCATTGGGCAATGCCCTTCAGGGTAGCCGGGAAGCATCGACACCAGGCGGCATCGTCCAACCCCTGCAGATACATGAGGTTGGAATATTCCATTAGGTGGTCCTCCGGGTTGGAGGTGCCATCATAGGCACCTACCAACACATTCTTGACCTTAGGCGGCTGTGCCGCCTGGGTTATCTCTAGCGAGAACGTCGTTGGCTGTTCTCCCAAATTGAGCAGGCGCAGCTGCCAATTCGTGGGTTGGAACGGCTGCTGCACATGACCCCCGAAGAGGCCTGGTGCAGAAAAAGGGGATCCACCCGGTACATATGGAGGACCATACTGTCCCGGCTGGATCACTTTGGGGCTAGATCGCGCAGAAGGTTCGCGAGACTGACCCGCTTGGTCTGTCTCCGAGCGTCTGACGGAGACACTACGGAGGCTGTCAGGAAAGGTCGACGTTGAAGCCGACGCAGACAGTTGTTGATTTCTCTTCTCCTGGAGAAACGTCCGGGCATCAGAGAAGGATTTCTTGGATCCATTCGGCTGTACATGCCAAATGGCTTTTTTGTGCTCTATTTGGGGAAAACGGAGCCTATTTAAGTCGATCTGGGGCCCCTCCCCCGCCTTGGGTTTCGGATGGGGAGTGGGCATGCGATCTTTTAGAGCCTTCTTCCCGGATGATGAAGGCTTCTTGGCCGGCTGACCCTTTTGGAGGGTGGTTGACCGGATGAGGTTCTTTATTTCGCGTTTGAAACTATTCATGAAAGTCATGAGTTCGTTCCTCGTGACGGGAGCAGATCATGCTGCTGCCTGGGCTTCCCCAACCGGCGTAACAGTTGTGTTGTTGGGAGCAGCTTGGCTCTCACCTCGTTCCTTCACCTCTTTGGAACGGGTGTGTTTTGTCCTAAAGGACCCGTCTAGGGCCACGTAGGTGTTGATTTCATAATCGTCACCACTTTCGTGGTCCGTCTGGACCTTTGGTTCGACCAGGGGCCGTTTGTCCAGATTCGTTGGTACAGTATCAGAAGTCATCTTAGAAGTACTCTCCCCACAGACGGCGCCAATGTTTCGGGGTTTTTCGATGTGTCCTGCGGGAGAGTTACGATTCCAAGGCTGAGCTGCCGGATGCCTGTACCTGCAAGATCACGAAGACTCCGGTTGGTAGGAGTTTCGCCTCCGACGATCAAGTTAGTATACGTACAGGAGGAAATGAGTATGAAATAGGTAAAATACTTCTCGCTGATTGGGAGAATTCCGCAATTAATATTGCTCGGTAATAGTGTTTGTATTTATGAATGCCTCATTAATGGAGTTTGCCCCACTATTTATAGTAGGGTAGACAAGTTCCCCATGGAGGGTACCAAGGATACTTGTCAACAGGGGATCGGAGCCCTGTTGACCATTGGCGATGTGCCACGTGTCGGCAGCCTATTAGGCCACGTGGCTAGGGTAATTTTACCCTAAACAATAAAAGTTTGTCCTAATTTTCATTTATTTAAAATAATTTATATATAAAGAAAAAAATGTTTGCAAACTTTTGATTTTATTATGGCTCTTTGGAAGTATGTAAGGGTAAAGGATCACTTGATCCCCACACTCAAAGGGATCCTAAGGTATAATACTTACAAATAGGCCAAAATTAGCTTGGTTGTTTGTAAAGATATGTTCCTTCAAACTTTCGCTTGTTGTATCACTACTTAAAAACACATAATTTGGTCCAAGAAAATGCCAGCGTAACAAATAATCGGCAAATTGTTATCTACCCACCAAAAAAAACAAAAGGGTTTATAACTCCTATGTTGTATAAAAATCATATTATAAACAAATTTTTCTATGATTTAAATACTTATACAAATTCTAGTATACACCCTTGTATGTCGAAAAAAATAGGTACATTCAAGTACGATATTTTGTTCACTTGCTTAATTTGAAAATAGGTACACTCGAGTCTGTTATTTGCTCACTCGCTTATTTCGAAAGCTCAAATTGAGCAAATGGATGGCGAAAAAAAGATATGTTGGGTGTACTGATGATGGATGCTTTGATAAACTTGACATACAGGATTACTCTGACATAGCACCCACCATCAATTGAGAGAAGCAGACCCACAAGTAGGCCAAATCTTGCATTTCAAACCCAAAAGTAACATAATTTACAGTTCATCTGTCAAAATATGAAACAACCAATTTGATCTATGGAAGATGATGATGGCATATAAACCTTGAAAACAAAGCTTTTAATTTACTTTTCAAGTTGTCCTCAACAAGAAGCAATAAAAAGATTGCTATGATATCTTCTGCAAAACAAACTTTCCTGCCTTGCTAAGCAAAACTTGCACACTATTTCAACAACATTATTTCTGTCACACCTAAATGTTTGAGGTTGTCAATCCAACTTAAATTTAATTTTAATCTTTATACCTAACAAAAAACTCAATATAGTATATAACATGCATCCCCTGTTTCAAGGCATTGTATATCACAACATCCAAAAAAGAACAAACACAAAAGAGCAAAAATGAAGCTCTTAATTGTAGCATTGTTCCTCCAAGGCCTTGTTCAGACTATGGGTCAAGCACAGGCGCCGGCTCCTGGACCTGCAGGACCTACAAATGTAACAGCGATTCTTTCAAAAGCTGGTCAGTTCACGATGTTTGTTAAGCTACTAGAGAGCACTCAAGAAGCAGACCAAATCAACAATCAACTCAACAACTCGAATTCTGGCCTCACAATTTTTGCCCCACCTGACAACGCCTTTTCTAGCCTTAAATCAGGGCTGCTCAACTCCCTGTCAGACCAACAGAAGGTGCAGCTAGTGCAGTTTCATATACTTTCTGACTATGTAGCTCAATCTGAGTTTCAGACAGCGAGCAACCCGTTGAGGACACAGGCTGGGAATAGCAATGATGGCGAGTATCCACTAAATGTCACCACCTCTGGAAACCAAGTGAATATAACTACTGGTGTCGTCAATACAACAGTGTCGAATTCCATTTACAGTGATGGGCAGTTGGCTGTTTATCAGGTGGATCAAGTGCTTCTTCCTTTGGCATTCTTCAGAACACCAGCACCTGCTCCAGCTCCAGAAGGTGGTAAACCGAAGAAGGGTGCCAAGGCAGCTGATACTTCAGATGACAACACTGATGACAGCACTGATACTTCTGGTGCCAGTGAACTGGTGAAGTTTAGGTTGAGTAAGGTGGTCTTTGCCATCTCCTTGGCTGCTGCTTCAATCTATATGGTTCTATGATTTTGTTAACTACTTTAATTTCTTCCTTGCTTATTCTTTTTGAGGATTATTGTATCCAGTTAAAGTTTTGTTTGATGGTATGCTGAGATAATATTGTGTACTGCTGCCTTTGTTGCTTCTTGAATTCAATGAAAAATTCTCATTATTCATGGTAACCCTGGATAGTATGAAAATTGAAATATCATCTCCGTTTCCATTTAATCTTAACATTTACTATTTGTACAATTTTTTTTTTTTAAATGACGAGCGGGTTAGTGGGTGGGTGGGCGAGAAAATGTCTCTAAAGAAATTTGTACACAATGGCGGATCTTGGCTCAAAATATTAAAGGGGCAGACAAATGAATATTTTATCACTTTCTCAAAATTATCACTATTTATAAGTAAAATAAGCTTATTTAACTTTATTAAGTAATTAGTTACAATAATTTAACAGGAGCCGGCCCCAAATGGCCCTCTGGAAGGTTCCTCTCTGTTTGTACAGGAATGCTGGGTAGATTTGCTGCAGTACAGGTGGATAATTCTGATCTGTGACGTCTGGTTTGGTGTTTCAGTAGCCCCCCTAAGCTACCACATTTTTCTTGGCAGGTTTGCTGGGGTAATATGGCTGTCAAGGCTGAACTTTTTAGACGCCACATTGCAGGGGATGAGCTCTGTCCGGTGTACATAAAATACTCCGACCGGAAGATTCAGGCCCATTACCGGTCCTCTTAAACCTCCGGTTCAGGTCCGGATCTGGACCGGTGTTCACCCCTAGCTGGGATGTACATAAAATATCCGGACCGGTTTGGACCGGATCGGAAGATTCGGGTCCATTCCGGTCCGCGTAAATTGGTCCAATCCGGTTCCGGGCCAACCCGGTGCAGGTCCGTTTCGGATCTGGACCGGTGTTCACCCCTAGTTGCAGTATCGAGGTAGAGACCATAAGTCATGCTCTCTTTGAGTTTGGCAACGCTAAACTTGTCTGGGAACACTATGATCTTGCTGCTCTAATTCATGACGCACCAAATGATTGTGTGCATCCAAGCTGCTGTGGTGGGCTGACAAGGTGGAAAGGATATGGTCAGGAAAGTCATGGGTCTTGTGGGCGATTTGGTTTGGTAGGAACAAGTTTGTTCGTGAACAAACTAGTGTTGATCCACTGTTTAACGCCAATGGCTTTGTCAGATTGGTTGAGGACTACGGTATTTACAATGTGAGGGTTCGTGGGCTGCAAGACTCAGGTTTGAATCAATTATCCTTATCATCATGGATTGCTCCTCCCGCGGGGATGGTGAAATTGAACATTGATGCTCAGATGGAATAAGTGTGGGTCTGGGTGTAGCTGTGCGTGACCATGGTGGGAAGTTGCTACTGGCAGCGGTGAAGCAAATACAAGTGGCGTGGGATGCTGAAATGGCCGAGGCAGTTGCGATCAGATATGGGCTCCAATTGATGCACAGATTGGGTTTTCATGACTTTTGGGTTGTAAATGATGCTCTAGCTACTGTGAAGAAAATCAACAATAATGCAGTTAATGCTCTAAAAGTAAGATATAAAGAGGAGTTTAGGTACATCTTTTCGCAAGACCGTGACCTAAACTATCAAGAAGTAAAAAATAAGAAAATTTGCTATCTAAAAAAGGATCTATATCTTGATGAGTTGGAGTCGAGTAGTCGAGAGAGACAACATACTCTGTTGACCGGTTTCCTTTCCGATAGATGTGATGTACCAAAATATTAATAACAGTTAGATTGTCGCCTTCAATAAAAATAGTCAAAAATAGCCTTGACATTCGCCATAAGGAGTTGAAGCTTCCATGGATAGCTGAAATGACCCTGCAAAATATTAATAACAGTTAGATTGTCACCTTTAATAAAAATATCTGAAATATTAAATTCCTTAGCAAGAAGGAAGCCATTTCGAAGGGCAATAGCTTTAGCAACGAAGGTCGGGCAAGAGCCTAAATTATAAGTTCGGCTGGCCACATGTTTTTCCGGGTGATCTCTAATGACAACACCTGCAGTAGCGGAATTTTGATTGGCAAAATCGTCAAAATTAAGTTTACAATAATCGAGAGGGAGAGGGGATCAGACCACGACACAAAGGGGGAGGGGGTAGAAGGTGGCGGTGGTGAAGGCGGTGTATTTTGCAAGTGTATAGCGTCTTCTTTAAACATAGAGAAGGCTCAGATGAATATAGTAAGAATATTAGCAAAAGATCGAGTTCTTAAAAATGATACCATTTTGATGCTTCCAAATACTCCAAAATAAAATAGCAATCTTAGGGAGGAGACTAGGGGAATTGGTCTTAAGGGAGCAAAATAAATCATGGATCTGATTAATTAGAGGGATGCGCCAAGCCACTAAAGGACTGAAGAGGAAGACCAAAGACTCAAACAAAAGACACAAGAGAGGAAAAGATGATCCTGGGATTCCAAATGATTAGAACAAAGAACACAAAAATTAGGAACAATAATACTACGCGAAGATAAAGTATGACGAGTAGCTAGACTGTTATGGAGGATTTGCCAGAGAAAAATCTAAATCTTAGGTGGAATGAACATCTAATTTCCAAATCCATCAAAACTCCCATTTGGAAGAGTGATGAACATGAGAATGAGCTAGCCAAGTAGCATATTTCATCGTGAACTGACCATCTTTAGAAAGACCCCAACATGATTCATCAGGAACAGGGGAAGAGGGGAGGGGGATTCCTCTAATAGTTTGAACTATCTTATTAGGAAGAACCGTGAGAAGAAGAGGGATGTCCCAAGTATTATTATTAGTGATGAACATGTCCACTTTAATATCAATATTCAAAAGTTGTTCGTGGTCCAAATTAAGGAAGGAAATAAGGTTGGTGTACACACACCAAATATCAACCCAGAAAAAGTATAGATTAACCATTCCCTACCTTCCAGCGAAGACCTCGGATTAGTAGAGGTCGGACTTGAAGAATCTTTTTCCATATCCAAGTGTCCCTAAGTTGAATATGACAAGAAAGGAAGTGGCATGGGATTTACATAGATATTTAGCAGTGACAGATTGAACCCATAAGTTAGTCGAATCTGACATAATTTTCCAACGTAGCTTAGCCAAGAAAGCAGAGTTAATAGCATCCGATTTACGAAGACCAAGACCTTCCTGGGGTTTAGCTTGGCAAATTGTACCCCAAGCAACCATAGGCAAACCCTAAGGACTGTCTCCAAAAAAAAATGTTTCTATTTAAACTATCAAGAGACTATGTAACAGAAGAAGGTAAACAAGCAGAGGTCATGGCATAAGAAGGTATAGCTTCAAGGTGGCAGAATAACCTTTACAACTTTTAGACTAAGTTGGAAGACCAGGAGTTTATTTTTGTATCTGCTTTTATAAGGATATGCTGGAAATTATCCTTACTGAATTCAGTAGAATTAAAAAACGCACCAAGATAGCGCTTTAGAAAAGATTTAGGGGTCATATTAAAATAGCTTTCCAAAACAGATTTATTAAGTTTAGTAACATATTTAGAAAGATGATAGATGATTTATGAAAATTAATCAATTGACCAGAGAGCGAAGCAAAGTCAGCCGGTGTATTGCGCAGAGCGTTACAAGAAGTAGGAGTGGCTTTACAAAAAATAAGATTGTTGTTTGCAAAAAGTAAACAAGGGATAAGTAGTGCAGAAGGAGCAATTTTAACACCAATACCCAGAGGCTTATTTTGACAAAGCAGAAGCAATTTTTTTAAAAGTACTTCCATACAAATAATAAAAGCAGCAAGGGGAAGGGGGTCACCTTGTCTCAAACCTCGGGAGGGTTTAATGAGGTTAGTCGAAGTATAATTGACTGCTGGAGGATTGCAGAGTGGTCCACAAGAAGTCCCACTCAATTCGGTCATAAGCTTTTTCCATATCTAATTTAAGCGCCAACCAACCTTGCTTGCTTTTAGACTTACTAAAGAGATTTAGGATCTCATGAGCAATCAAAATATTATCTTGAATAGCATGGTCGGGAGGAAAAGCATTTTGGTATGCACCAATAAATTTCTTGAGGAATGGTTTTGGTTGAGCAACTAGAATTTTCAAAATGGCCTTATATTATAGTACACAAACTAATTGGTCTATATTGACTAGCTTTAGTAGGATTATCAATTTTAGGAATTAAAGTAATAACCATATGATTAAGCTCTCTTAAAAGTATACCATTAAAGAAGAATCCTTAAATAGCTTTACATATATATAGCCCTATAATATTCGGTTAGTGTTGAAAAAATCTAGGGCCATAACCATCTGAACCAGGGGCATAATAGGGGCACATGTCAAAAAAGGCATCTTTAATTTCAGCATATGTAAAAGGACAATTTAAATCAAGATTATCCGCATTAGTAATAATTGGTTCAATCCAAGGGAGGGAGATAGAACACTCGTGGGGATGATCTGACTTAAAACGCATGGAGAACTCTTTATAGAAAAGATTCGTAATTTATGATGGAGTATCAACCCATTGATTAACATCATTTTGGAGTCTGAAAATCTGTTTTTTAATTGATCGTCATTTCATAGACTCATGAAAAAATCTAGAGCTACGATCACCTTTAGTTAACCACAATTTTCGAGCATCCTTTCCCCAAAATTTTGACCGAGGAGAAGGAGCTTCTCGCGTTAACGAATAAGACGTGTAAGGTGTTGACAAATATGAAAATTATATGGGTAAAGAAGTAACAGAGCCTCAACCGAGAGAAATTTAGTTAAATTAAGTTTTAGCGTACTCTGAACATTCCCATACTTAGTATGATTCCAATGTTTTAATTTAGTTTTAGCATGTTTCAGCTTTTGCAAAATGCAGTAAAAGCGAGAACCAGTGATATTAAGTTTCCAAGTTTTAGCGATAATTTGTTGAGCTTCTATATCAGAAGTCCATGCATTTTGATATCTAAAAGAAGATAATTTTGGGGTCGAATTATTATTTGTAACCAAAATAATAAGAGCATGGTCAGAAATGAAAAAATGTTCATACAAAATAGTTGCAGCAGGGTATAAGGAGTCCTACTGTGGACTTATAAAGGACCTATCCAGTCGTTCATAAACTATTTGTGAATTAGTTGCACGCTTCCAAGATAATAGGTTATCCAATGGACTAACCTCTATAGCTTGAGGAATTTGAGTAAATCTTTGTAGACAAAAACACCGGTCAGTAGTAGGGGGCTTCTTGGCCATCTCT